GGCTGTGGGGCGAGCGCAGCCACTTCTTCCCCAGCCCCTCGGTGTAGGCAGGGTCTCGTATACAAAGCACAAACTTCATTTTTGGTCTTCTCCACCATATCCTGGCCAGGCAGGCTCCTGCGGCCTCGGGGAGGGACAGGGCAGAGGGCGGCAGGACGGCGGTGGTATGCACCCAGCCGGGCCTGAACTGACCCCAGGGAAACGGTGCCTGCACCGACGCTCCGGAGGTTATCAGCATCTTAAGGGGTTTATTTCGAAGCAGGGCAAGCAGGCCCCCCGAGTGGGGTTGGTGATGACAACCAGCTCCCCAGGCACCCACTCAGTGGGAGCTGACGGCCCTCAGCACTGATGGAAAGGGGCGTTTTCCACCTTTCTTGCCACCGCTGTTGGGGTGGGGACAGGGGTCTGCCGTAAGCAAGGAGAGGAGGGGGGCAAGGCTGGTGCCATGTGGGACAGCTGGGGCTCTGTGGATTCGGGAGGACCACCACGCGCTGCCCCAGCCCAGGCTGGCATAGGGACTGCCCTGGGACCCCACAGCCCACCTCACTGCCAACCCAAAGCCCGGCTCACCCAGGGGCTGCGGCCATGCCATCCCAGGCCCCAGGTGTCCCCAGGACACGCAGTCAGCTTGGCCAAGGCAAACTTTGATTCTTTTTTTTTTTTTCTCTCTTTTTTTTGGGGAATAAACTAAAACCCTAGACTTGTTGGTGTTTTTACAACTCCGGTGTGGTTCCTGCCTGTCTGACTGTGTGTCGACCTTTGTAACATTGGCAATAAACCATTAAAAGTGACTTTCCCATGAGCCCTGCCCATCCTGGCTCTTTGTCCTGTGTGCGTGTGTTGGAGGGGGGACACTGGTGGCTCTCCCAGGTAAGGACCTGGAGCGCCCAGGGATTTATCCAGACGGCAGGACGGACTCACCCACCTCCACACAGCATGTCCCAGGGGGTCCTGGGGTGCTCCAGCCTTGCTCGGGGGGAGCAGACTCTCAGCCTGGGACTGGAGGCTGCTGCCCACCAGGAGGGGTGACCAGGACCGGGGCTGGTCCCCCGCTGCTGCAGGCATTTCGAAGTGTGGCTGCCTGCCGTCTGGCTGCGTTTCACCCCAGCAGAGCCTGGCACAAAGCACACGCTGTCTCCAACAGCTGCTGTTGTAGCTTTAATATGATTGATTTTTTTTAATATACCTATATATATGTATTTAAATATATTTCTTATTTAACAGTTGGTATCAGCCAGACAGGAGCCACCCGTCTTGCACAGACATGGAGCCATATGGCACAACGGTCCCCAACGCGGGGCCCGCCACATCCGCTGGCTCACGCACCCGCTGGGACCATCCGCTGGCTCACGCACACGCGGGGAGAAACCCCCACTCACGCCGTGGGCACCCACCGGGAGAGGAGCATCATGGCAAAGGGGTCTCGGGGACAGGCGTGCACCGTCCCCTAGGTGTAGGGCTCCCACCCCAGCGCTGTGCCTCATCCCTGCCCACAAAAACACAGGGCAAGCAGCCAGGGCTCTCGGTGGCCCTGCTTGAGCAGGGGGGTGGGACCAGATGACCTCCAGAGGTCCCTTCAACCTCAGCTGTTCTGTGACTCTGAGACGCTGGGGCTGCCCCAGCTACTTCTGATGCCATCCTCCCCATCATCCTTCCAGCAGGACAGGGTCCCCTGGCGGGACGTGCCCTCAACTAGCCCAAGCTTGGTGTAAGACAGAGACAGGAATGGGGAACGTTCCTGAACTTGATCTCACCCATGCACACATGAGCTCCTGAGGAGAGGCGGCGATGGCTGGTGCCTCGGAGGTCATCCCTGCCTCTGCCCTGCAACTCCGCCCACCCTGAGCGAGGGACGTGCTGCCTGCCATCAGGAGTAGTAGCCTTGGACAGAGCCTGCCCTTCCCTTCAAATATGCAAGGCATCTCAGCCCCCAAGGCCACCACGGTGCCTCATGCCTTCGGGGCCAGGCCCTGCTCTTCACCCACCACCAAGCTCTCTAGAGATCCTGCTGACTTTGAATAGACTTACAGGAAAAATAAATCCCCAAAACCCACACATAACCTGATCCACAGTGAAACAGAGAAGGAGGATCCACAAAACACACGATTCCTCAATGAAGGTTGCAGTGGAGGGCCAAAGCCAGTGGCCTGTGAAAAGGGTACCCTGCATCCAGGCTTCCCCAACAGGTCCTCTTCTCCCACGCAGAAATTTTCTCTGGGTAGAAAGAGGAATTTGTGCATTTGTTGGGGATTTCCAGATGCTGGGCAGACCGCTGCGCTCATGCAAATGTGATGCATTACGGACCTGATGTGTTGTAGACTTAAGAGGTGCAGTCAGGTGGAGGAGAGAGCACCCCGCCAGCACTGGTCACGCAGCACCCCTGCTCCTGCGCCTGCGGCCAGGCAGCAGTGCCAAGGTCCACTTAGACTCTGCCCATGGCAATGTGGGAGCAATGTGGGTCTAAAAGCACCAACGTATCTCGCCTGAGGAACTTGGCCCCTTGGTTAAGTGGCGGTAGCCAGCTGAGAAACTTCTCTCTGCAGTCCAGCTGCTAGATGATGAAAAGCAACAGCGAGGAAAGCAGGAATAGGAGAAAAAGAGGGGAGAAAACAAGACCAAGAGATGGGGCAGTGCCATACCATCAGGGATGTGCCGAGAAAGGCTCCGAGGGAGCAATGTGGGGAGCTTTTGCAGGAACAACCAGCACCCTCCACGTCCACAAACACCAGACACGTGTGTCCTGTGGAGCTATAAGCAGGACATCTCCCTGGAGGTGATCCCTGAGCTCCCCTTGAGCACCGAGTTGTGACTAACATCACTGGTGCGGTCACACGCCCCAGCATAACAGCCAGGAATAAATGGGCAATGTGAGGGAGGAGGTCAAGGACCAAAGGAGAGATGTGGTTTTGCAACCCACGAAGACCCAGGAGAAGAGAGGAACAGGAGGACACGTGACAGCTGCACTGGAGAACTTGCGTCCCTAAAGGTGACCACGTAAACCAAGCACGTGGGATAAGATGGGGTGGAAAAGCAAGCTTGGAGGGCACTGTTGAGTGTGTACCTTTGTTGGTACTAGAAACCAGGTCTGGCCTGTGTTTGCCCTCTCTGAAAATGTCTCTGGTAGCATGATGGAAAGCTGAGCACTGGGAAGGAAGGAGTCTCGGTCTGTTATGAACGCCCCAGGGTAAGGTTTTGCACTGACACATCTGTGACCCCTAACGGACACGCGGGTGGGAAGACTATTGGGAAGCCTTCTGCCCCCAACAGCTCCGCAGGGTGCTTTGCACACGCAGGGCACCCGGCGTCCTCCAGCTGTGCCAGGCAAGGTCTGACTAGACAACTTCTGCCGAACATGGAAAATAAACCCACGGTAGCCATTTTTTTTTTTGTAAGCTAAAGAGAGAATTAATTTCTTCATGCACCTGAGCAAAGCTCAGAGCAGGAGCAGAGTAATTTTAAAACTGTCATTTCCACGTCACCTGTAGGGACTGGCATGGTGTGGCACCAAGGTGAAGGACATGGTGATACTCTCCGTTAGGATGCACAACACTGCAACGAGCCGGGGTCGCAGTTACCCCTTCCTACCACGGGCTTGGAGCAAACAGCCTTCCTGGCTTCTCA